TTCAAAATGGCACTTTCTTCATAGTGAACAGATGTACCCATAAACCAATTTTGACAGGAAACAGAAGCATGGTTTAGAAGCTAAATTTTTTTAAATCACTTTGGACCAAAAAAAACACGTTTTTGTGCATATTTCAAACTACAGTCTCCATAACAAAAATACTAACTATTTTTTTAAATTCATACAATAAGCTTTCCAAAAATTGGTACAGACATAATATTTGGTTTACATATATTTCTGTCACGTTGTGTAATTTCATCTGTTGGCACTCTGGATCTATGATGATCTGAACCGTTTCCGAACCGTCGATCCTGAAATGTAACTATAAACGGGTGCTCCCCATTTTCTTTAACTATTTTGGTTTTCCAGCATAATTCATAGCCAGTACCGAATGCCCAAGGAAGTAAGTGAAATTACTTGTCTTTGTGACATAATACACCTACATCTTCTCTTGGTTTGAACTGATGGTTTCACTAGATCAAGTCTTGATCTTAGATGTCTATGCATAAATAATGCTGCAGGAATCTGTCCTGTAATAGTCTGTGGAGTAATCTTATATCTTGATAAAAATGATACAATCTCGACTCTTAAAAAAACTGAAGTTTTTCTGATACTTTCCTTGACTGACTAATGATTTCCTAAACATGCACTTTTCTCGTTTTAGTTCAGCTTTGCTGAGTGATTTAATATTTTATCTAAATTTACTTCAGTAAGTCCGAAAACAAGTATATCATAGGAATACCCTGTACTGCCGGTCCCATGGTTCTCTGGAAAATTGTTGGCCCTTCGGTTATAGCATTTGGTAAACGGGTGTATGCATATATATTTTACTATTGGCGACTCTCAAGGATTGTGACTCTCATCCTATTGCAATTGCTGATAAGCATGACTCAAATCTTTCTGATGCACCTGTATCAATTTCTGTGGTTCTAGGTACCCAATTTAACTGTGTGTAGTATGTAGTTACGTGTTGGAAATGTTGTATGACTCTTGTCCTTTTGAATAGGCTGTAGTTAACGCATTAAAATAAAAATTAAATTATTTTCTGTCATTTTTTTATTTCTTCTCCCCATGCTGAACATTTCTCTTTTTTGTCATGACGTCATTTACCACCACAACCCAACCCAAGCATGGCTGATTCTTATGACCATTACCGGGCCCTCTAAGCTTATAAAATTTCTTTGGTGTGTTTTGGTCAATCTGTGAACAATGAATACATTGCTATCTGCCCCAGTTGACTGTGTGCTTGAGCTGTAGTGGTTCCAGTAAACGAGCATATTTTTACTAAATCAACAAGGGAACAATTTAGACCCCCCAACCCCCTTTCTCTTATTTTTAGGATTAATGCATTTCTGTATAATCTGAGATTTCTTTTCTTTCACTTTCTCATGAAATTCAAAGTTCCTGGCTGGCTGTCGTAATCTCGCGGCAAACTTATCATGTGTATCTGATGATAACTGAATTGCCTGGCGAAATACAAACACTTCGCACTCTACATTTCGTTTTGGCGCGAAGTGCCTTCAACTTCTACGCTTCGCCCTCAAGAAGGAGATATCTTTTTCTCGCCCCCCGTGTTTCCAATTGTCTTAGCTACAAAATAATTATGCTATCTACCGTTCCCGGCACATAGTAGCTGTCTCTGGCGGAACTGGTTTCAATGCATTCATTCTGAAGCTGATTTGATCTGCTTCAAAGCAGGCTGAACAGAAACTTGTACTCACTTCACTTGTTCTGTCAGTTTTCTGTATGTCAAAGTTAATCTTCGTCGCCAAATGTGTGGGACCTTGGGACAGTGAAGGCCGTGATAAGAATACAAGCTCAGCGTAAACAACGCAACTGGTCCTGCAAATAGACAATCTCCAGAAACTTGTTACATTAATAGCGGCGTTCTGATTACGTATGGGCGAATGACTTGTCATTAAAGCGCTGTGGTCGTCGCGCAGCGCGTGTTCGAATTTCATGTAAATAAACAATGTATTTTACACGCGTTGTATACGTCGCTATGAGTCCCATATCGAACAGAACGCGGCACGACGACTGCCGCCCTTTAAATACGGCCCAACCTCAATATACTACACAATCACGCCATGGCGTTTCTGTGTCCAAACAAAGAGAAGTGTCCGATTGAGATGTCAATAACCTTGTTTTTTTTAACTGTTACGAACCCTTTTACACAAAATTAATGAGGACTTGGTTATTTGGTGTTCGACCGTCCTCTAAGAGTGCCATCAATAAAGTTCACATACGAGAAGTCGGCAGTCGATGTGGACGAAAATGGAATGCGCCTTGTCATACTCCGTCTGATACAGTTCTTTGGCGATATTTCTTATTTTGTGGAACACAAATCAGGCCCGTACAGTCTCTACTCAGCTTTATTATGCTACGAATTTCGTCATTTCTCCGCAAACCAGAATACCATACGCCATATGGTCAGTAAAGAGGTGCCACCAACAGTATCAACACATATCGTTAACTTTCAGAATGCTTCATGGAAATGATGGAATGTTCAATTAAATTGAAATATTACATAGAAGTTATTAAATAACGTATGCAACAATTAATTACCCAGTTGAAAATATATTTCTGGAAATTTTGGAAGAATTGTAAATTCCGTTTAAAACTTGCCATTTGCTTCTGTTCATGACGTCAGTACACAGTACAACTGCCACGCAAATTCTAGCCATATAGAAAGTTATAATTTTCGCAATAAATGATAACAAATGTTGAATCCGAATATTGCGGATAAATACAGTTACTGAATAGCCATGAATGTTTGCAAAAAGGTTCAGGGTCCAGCTTACCCTTACAATTAATATCACAACATGAAAATGTAATGATACTGTGTTTTGTTTGTCAATGTCATGTTGGTTTAGTTCTTTTGATACTTACAAATTACGGGGGACATGTGTCAGTATACAAATATTGTGGAATAATATCAGTGAGTAAAAAATAAGTGTTAACATCATTGTGGTCGAATGTTGACTTGCGTGATAAACAACAGGACCAGCTGTGTTGGTAGGACCAACAACAGCTTGAGGATTTCATTTGTCCTCTTGACCTGTAGCTTATTTAGATTAATATGCAAAGCATTCAACACACGTTCCCACTTTGTGTTGTAATATATTTAGTTTCTATAATTTCAATAGCTCAATGCTTAACCGTAGATATATTAGAAAAGCCATATAAGGTGATTCACAAGTTCGAGAATCAATATTTTGGATACAGGGTTTACTGAAACGCGCATTGTTTCGGCTCTTCGTCCATGCGAAATCCACAGGTGAAGTAGCGGTGACATCCGGGTATCTTCGATAATTTACATGGATACATCACGCGTTGTCTCGTGTCACCATACATTCCCACCTGAGTTATTACGTATTCTCATGCGACTGGGAACATCAATCATATCAAAAACATACGTATTTTCTCACAGATGCACCTCATGCCTTTTATTCAACACTCAAACTTATCATTTTGTCTTAAATATCATTGCCAATTATTAATTTGTATGGCTTCCCTAGACCAATTCCTGAAAACTGATGGAAAAAAAGGGTATTAGTTTTAAGATTTAATTCAACTTAACGGAAGTTAGATAGTAAGAAATGTGCGATTGTTTGGTCTCACGATATCGCAATGCATTGTGGTAGATGAACAAATAAATGAAATAACAAATGCGATAGAGTGTATAAATAGACAAATTCTTGACAATATTGTCACTGTCCGCTATCAAACCATGAAGTCTGTTTACCTTCTCTTTGCGCTACTGGTTATTGGCACAGCCGCCCAAGGTAAGATTAAATGCAATACATAAAATATATACATTACATGTACAGTGTTATGGCCTTCTGAAAATACTCGAAAGTTTAATTTGAAGTAGGAATTCGAATCTGACGCTGACGTAGGGAAAATTATATTTACATTTAGAACGGTGATTGTAAGTTTTGATGATATGTCTTTCGTTTCAAGAAAATGTAATGTTTCAATACATTATATATCTCCAAACGATGCCTGGGATTGTAACAAATAGTAGCAAAAAACATGTACACAGAATAATACGTACCTTTTTTTTACATCAGTCGCAAAACTTCAAACATGACTAGGATAACAGATGCATAGAAAATATGACACAAAGGTTAAGAAAGTGTCGCACGTGGGTGCAACACATGTTTGAACAAAACAAGGGAATAACAAGTTTGTAATCTTAAAGTAGAGATGCAGGTTCGTGGAGTTTTTTTTTTCTCTTTATTATTCAAACAGTCTTGGCTATAGACTGTTAAAATTTTGTAGAATTGTGAATAGTGGAACATACTCAAAAAACGATTTTAAAATATAGATAACTGGTGCAAACATTCTCTCTTTTGAATGCTTAGCAAGATTTAGCAAGGCTGTACATAAAATGAAACATGATGAAAAAAAGAAATGACGGGATCTTCATATTATGCACTTTATTTAACATTTAACAAAACGATAATACATTTAAATTTGAAACTGTTGCGGCCATTTTAATTATGAGCATTAGCAAACTTTTTACTGAGTGAATTGTTATGCAATTGGCAATTATCTCAGCTTCTTCTCAGTGCACATTCCAGAACTTTAAAAAAATATAGCTCCTAGACGCTTTGACCTTTTGTTTTGAAATTTTCACAAATGATTGACAATGTGTTTATTTTCAAAACGCCGTCGGGCATTGTTTTTGGTTGACCTGTGTTACAACAATCGTACAGACAACTAGCAGGCATGTTAATTTATGCATAAACTTGACGTAGTGAAATTTGAGCTGCTGCCATGCAAAATTGGCAACTGGTAGACAGTTTTCAAGACGGCACTTCCTTCACAGTAAACAGATGTACCCATAAACCAATTTTGACAGGAAACAAAAGCATGGTTTAGAAGCTATTTTTTTTAAATCACTTTTGACCAAAAAAGCACATTTTTGTGCATATTTCAAACTATAAAAAAATACTAACAAAATGTTAAAGTCATACAATAGGCTTTCTGAAAATATATAGTTTTGTGGACAAGGGCGATCATCTTGGTTTCCTAATTAACTAATTGAAATACATGTCAGGTAAACTGCATCTCTACCTTAAACTTACAAATTACTACTCATAATAACAATTCAATCATTAGACGTGTTAATTGCCTCTCAATGGGTGAACAAGTATTTAAACAGTTCTCTCTCTGTATCATCTTCGCCAGCCAAGGAACGGTTGTTTCGGGTCACCCCTACAAACTAACCCTTGGCAGATTAAATGACTACAGTGTGGATTTAATAGGCGCCCTTAACGACAAGGAGGGGGGGGGGAGATGTGACAAAAATGAACAGCCAATCAGCTATCTTGTATCAAAATACAGTAGAGCGGGATTTTTGAAAATGGCGACCCATGCAGAACAGATCACGCAGTTTTTGCAAGATAAAAAGCCTCACCGATCTCTAAAATATCGCAATTGGGGCATTACTAGCCGAAAAAGATGTGTTTGTTGCAACGAGGCCTTGGAGTGTCACGAAAATTGTGCAACAGTTCAACTCTTGAATGATCAGTCGCGTAGAGTTTCTGAGATTTCTTTCAGAGTTGACAGTTTCATTACTTTGTTAAAACATGGTCGACATAAATATTTGTCACTTTGCTGACGAAGTATGTCACACACAGCCGCAGCGTTGGCATAACAAATTGTGGAAAACTGGGTGAAAATATGCAGCGCCGGTTTTTGGGGTTTGGAAAACAATCTAAACACACTTTACACGCACGTTTACTAGAAAAAAATGAAGTAACCGTGCTACACGTTACCATTTCCGACATTTTGCTCTTTAGCTTACACAGCGTCTGATTGGGCGCCTTACCAACAGGCGCATCCAATCAAACTTGGCAATACGTTTAACATAAAATGCGCGTTTACGCAGGCTGATCCCGCACGGGTTGGTGGAGTCTCTGTATATAGACGACCACCTACAAAAATGAATATATCCTGTATTTTACATTACGCTAAACTGAGTTTGATTTCATAGAGTAGGGCGTTAAGAAGACTGACAACAGCCCAACTTCGCAAACTTCACAGTCAATACCACAACATTAGTGACAGTCCAGTCCAGACAATTATTGCACTGATCATAATATTTCATTACAGTAATGCAACTGTCACAATCCATACAACACGGCATAAATAATTTAGGTTCGTTGACCGTTTTTCATGTGCATAGTCTTCTGGCGGTGGTCACATCTCTTCATGATCTTCCATTATAATCGTTCTGACATCAACTTTCATCAACTGACAATCCTAGCGACTATAATAAATTTAAAGGGAGGCAGTCGTCACGCCGCGTCCTGTTCGATATGGAACTCATAGCGACGTACACAACGCGCCGTGTAAAATACATTGTTTATTAGCCTTCGCAGACGAAGTCTGCCGAAGGCTTATAGATTGGGTTCTGTCCGTGCGTTCGTCCGTGCGTCCGTCTTTTACCTCTTATAACTTTGATATGCTCTGTCCAATTTTTTTCCAAATTGGTGCAAATGTATATCTCAGTGCCATACATATGCACGCCAAGTATTTTTTTGATTCGCCAAAGTTTCATTGTGTTTTTCTGTGATTTTCAACATTTTACTAGTACAAATGCCGAAATTTGCCGGAAAAATCCGAGTTTTAACG